CTTAGAGAGGTTTTCTTGTTTACATTTCTTATCCTTTTGTAAAGGGGAAAGGTTCTAGCTAATCCCATGTAAAAGCTAGGGAAAGGTTCTAGTTTAGCCCGGAAAAACTAGGGAGTTTGTAAGGTTAGTCTTTATCCTCAAAAGAAAGAACAAATTAGTGAATTTGTTGGAAAATCCTTGGTGAGGAGCTAAGCTAGTGGACGTAGACTTTGGTTGAGAAAGTCGAACCACTATAAATCGCTGTGCAATTCTCTATCTTTCAATCTCCTTACTCCTTAAACACAAAACCGTTCCGACCCCTCTTTGCAGACCGTTCCGGTTGTCAATTTGAGCTTTCGAAAATCCTAAAAAATTGGCATCAGAGCCTAACTCGTTAAGAAGGTTTAACCACCTTGAGACGATCCTAGAAGAAGCTCTACCAATTTCCGACACAACCGAGAAGATGGCTTCCACCTCCGGCTCGTTCCACATGGAAGACTCCCTACCAACCGACAAACCTTCATACTTCAATGGAGTCAACTATCATCATTGGAAGAAATTAATGAAGGTATTCATCCAATCCAATGATCTTGATGCATGGGAGATAATCGAGAATGGCTACTCTTCTCCAAAGAAGAAGGAGAAGAAGAGGAGTGACAAAGAACGGAAGAAAGCTCAACTTAATGCCAATGCCATGCACATGTTGTTTTGTGCATTTGGTCATGAAATCTATGAAGGGGTTTCTTCATGTTCAAGTGCCAAAAAGCTTTGGAATAAGCTTGAGGAAATCCATGTAAACAAGAAAGAAGAACCAACAAAGGTGGTGTCTCTAATGGCTCGTGAAGAGCCAGAGGTATCTTCTAACTCAAATGAATTTAATTCATATACGTTTGATGAGTTACAAGATGCTTATAATAGGTTGTATTTGGGATTTGAGACCATGAATTCCAAATATACGAAATTAATTTTAAAACTCAAAATTGAAAATAAATCGATTTTGAAAGCTAGAGTTGATTTTGAAAATCAAAATGGAATTTTGAAAAATGATTTAGAGCTTTCAAAAATCAAAATAAATGATTTAGAAAAGAAAAATTTTGAGTTAGAAGTTAAGCTTGAAAGCTTAACAAAAGAAAAAGAATTAATTTCTAAAAACAATCTATTATGTTTAAATATGGCAAAATGTTCACATTGCCATTATCATGGTCATATGGAACATACTTGTCCTTTGAAGAAAGGAAAACGTTTTAAAATTAGGCAAGTATGGGTTCCGAAAAGAACAAGGGGCATTGAAACTAACGTCCAAGGATCCAAAGTAATTTGGATACCAAAATCTACTTAAATGTCTCTTGTAGGTGTGTGGGAGCAATGTTGATGAAAATTATGATATTCAAGATGCTCTAGCCACACATAAAAAATGAATGGGTAACCTCTAAGCTTAATGTTTTTAATTTTAGTTATTTGGTTGCTCATTTGATTTTAAGCATGCATGAGTTTTGTTTTTAAATAATTATACATTATTGTTTTAATCTCATTTATGTTAAAAAGGTTTTATGATGAACATTTTAAAGTTGTAATAATTTTTTAGAATTTTTAGTTCATCATAAGGAATTTTGGTCAAAATTGGTTTTAATGCAAATGATATCTCTATGACAATTGATATCAACTTTTCAAATGTTTTGATTTTATAAATTTTAAAAATTTTAACCTAAATTTAAATGTTTATGCATATGGTTTAAATGAAAATGATCTCTCTCTAACAATTGATATCAAAATTTTCAAATGCATAACATTTTTGGAAAACTTTATGCATATGCACTTAATTTCAATAATTGATATTGCATAAAGTATTTTAGACCTGGATGTATTGAATTTCATGTGCTACTAACATGTTTGTTATTCTTTGTTGAAATTCAATTTTGTTTAAGTGTCAAGATCCTAAAAGAATAATTTTATTTGGAATGAATTTATTGAGGGGGAGCTTTGATTTTTTCAAATGATTTTTAAAATGTCAAATTTACTACTTACTCTCCAAAGTTATTTTGAACTTCAAAGATTAGAGTCTTTTTGATTTAACAAAAAGGGGGAGAAGTGTTAAGGTGTTAAAGGGGAGAAGTGTTAAAGTAAGGGGGAGTAATTTCAAACTTGATTTCAAAATCTTAAAATTACTCAAATGTTTTGTTATATCAAAAAGGTGGAGATTGTTGAAAACATTTTGATGTTTCGATATAATAAATTAAGTTAAATGAATTTTAAGATTTTACAAAAGATTTTCTAAGTATATTCGATGTAATTATTCGAATATCAAAATATTACTCCAAGTATTTCAAAGTTCATTTTAATCCTTACTAAAGTGTAAAATTGTGTTTTATACTTAAACTATTTTTAAAACAATTTTACAAAGTATTTCGAACCGTTTCAAAGCAAAAAAAAATCAGATTGTCCAGGGGGTACATATTCCCCCCAGGGGTACAGATTCCCCCCCAGGGGGAACAGATTCCCCCCCAGGGGGTACCGATTCCCCCCTGTCTAACGGTCGAAATCAGATTGTAATTAGGGAACCGATTCCCTATGAGGGGGTACCAATTCCCCCCACGCTCCAAGTTGTTTTATTTATTGTTTCTCATCTCCAAACGGCTCCAAAACATCCTCAACGGCTATATACGACTTCAGACACATTCCAATCTATAAATACAACCTAAGGACACTTGAAGATGCAAGAGAACAACTATCCAAGCAATCAAACACAAGAGAAGAGTTTTTCAATCTCATTTCATCTTTCTCTTGTAAATATTTTGTTCTTGTGAGCTCAATCTTGTAAACACCCACCTTAGAGAGGTTTTCTTGTTTACATTTCTTATCCTTTTGTAAAGGGGAAATGTTCTAGCTAATCTCGTGTAAAAGCTAGGGAAAGGTTCTAGTTTAGTCCGGAAAAACTAGGGAGTTTGTAAGGTTAGTCTTTATCCTCAAAAGAAAGAACAAATTAGTGAATTTGTTGGAAAATCCTTGGTGAGGAGCTAAGGTAGTAGACGTAGACTTTGGTTGAGAAAGTCAAACCACTATAAATCGATGTGCAATTCTCTATCTTTCAATCTCCTTACTCCCTAAACACAAAACAGTTCCGACCCATCTTTGCAAACCGTTCCGGTTGTCAATTTGAGCTTCCGAAAATCCTAAACAAATTTTCCCAAATGTCTATATAGAAACAAAGAATTATTTATCGATTATTTGTTGATTTAACGAGAAAAACTTTAATTCTTTAATTAAAAATTCAAATTTTGATACGATAAATCAAAGTAATAAAATTAAAAGAAACATGCTTAATTATAATAGATTATTGTATTATTTAATCCCAATTAATTATTAAATATCGATAATTAAAGAAAAAAACACCACAATATTCTAATATCCTTAATGGACCAAAACACGCAAACAAAGCATCAATGTTATTAACCCACCCTTTTACATGGTTACTATTTATGGTACGGCGAAAACAATCGATGGTGCTACTTCGTTTGCACTTATAGTTCAAGCATTTGCTTCTATGACCACTCATCCTATTTCCCACAATCCCACAACGAAATTCCTTCTATATACATTATACACTCAATTTCAACAACAATATTCATTCTATAAACATTTATATTTTGAGTTTTTTAATATCCGAATTCGAATCTCCCTTTATATAATTTATGTATTATATTTAGATGTGTATCGATATTTGAAATTATTTTGATTCTTTAATGTTTTGTATTAGTTAATTGTACTCCTATTTACGTGTACATGTATTAATCGTAATCGTTGATCAACGTGATTCTACTTGTGTCTCTTATTAGAAGTTTGAATTATGGTTTTGTGAACGAATAAAACTAAGTTAAGAATTAAACTATGCAACACATGAGTCGACTAAGGAATCACGTATCGATAGTCATAAATTACATTTCTAATCTTTATATTTATTGATAAGTATCATTTTTTAAATATTTAAAATCTCATCTCCAAAGAAGTACGGAACAGCACTTCCAAGCACTATATAAAATTGCCCTGCGTAACACCTTCACTACATCTTCCTTTTTATACAATACGATCCCTTTTTTTCTCTCTTGTTTGCATGGGAAGATTTGCCATCGCCAAAGCCAAGACTTCAATGCTCAGGTAACGTTAATTATACATTAAACTTTATCTATTTTTTGTTTAAATATTCTATAGCGTTCTGTTTTGTGTCAGGGAAGCTAAGCGATCATTTGAGCGTCCGTTAAGCAAACTTGCCAGTGTCGATCGGGAGACCATCGCGATGTGTCGGAAGTCGTTGTCGAAGGGTAATGACATAAAGGATTCATGGTCCTGGGTTCCGCATCCAAGGAGCGGGATATATTTCCCTGAAGGCCACGAATGGGTGATGAGAGACGTTCCGGAGGGAGCGGCGTCGTTGGACCAGACATATTGGCTTAGGAATGTCGACGGTGTCGATAAACCAGAGCCATCTGATCGTGAATATTTTCCTAGTGACCACCACTATTCCCATGCAAATATTTGAGAGAAAAATAACAGCAATGGAGTAAACATTAATAGACTTAAACAAAGTGTAGGATCTTTAAGGGATTTTAAATAAATATTTTGTCACATCTATTTTCACCGGTCCTAAATTTATATAAAATTAAAACAATTTTACATTGTTTAATAGGATCATATCCCATATATATATATAATGTTTAAAATAAACATGAACTAAATTACTTATTTACTAATCGAGTGGTCATTCATAAAATATATTAATATTTTTATAATTTAAAAAATTAAAATTATCAAATATTAATTGAACAATTACCAAAAAGAAAGTAAACAATGAAGCATCAGCTCGTGTCATCTTTGAATAATTGAAACGCAGCATATGCCTAACACTGTGTCCTTCTATACATAAAAAGAACTCCTGCATGAGTATATGGGCCTAATCCTGGTCTGAATCCGGCCTCGGCCGATTTGCAGTTCTGTAGACAGATGGAGTCTCTTGTATCGGAGCAACTCTAGATAACCTCCTCATCACGACCACCATTATCCTCGGGACTGCTTGTCGAGGATAAAAGTTCGATTAGCTCCATCCTGTACTCGAGGCCTCTAAGGTAGTGTCCCAATAGCTTACACCTTCAGAGAAGAAATGAGAACATCAGAAGTAACATTTTCCATTTGAATGATTTGCTTGAGTGACTGAAGCTTATTCACAGTTTAAACACGCAGAACAGCTCTCGGATCTATGATCCATTTTATTAATGGCGGGAGGTTAATTTCATATCAAGTGTGTATTGGGGAGGTCAGGGAAGATGGATTAGATAAAGAGGGAATGCCGATGCCTTTTCTTTATCGAATAGGATTCTCAACATTTTTTAGTGTCCGGCAAAGGAGATGCGGCATCGAGCATGTTGGTGTAATGAGCAATAAAAGCATATTTTAGATGGACTAACCAGAAGAGAACACAAGCAAGATAGTCTCGTGTTAGCAAAATGGTGGGCTGCAACTGAAGTGAAGCATTCTCAACAAGTTCAGTACAATCTTCACTCACGACATTATTTAACGCTCCAGTTGCTGGGTTCCCTGAAAAAGGAGGGACCTTGTAATGCATCGTTGGAGAAAGGGTAGCAAGGAGTTCATGGACTACAGAGTATACTGCTTCTCTCGCTTCAAGGGATGTTGGTTCGGAAAGCTCAGCTACCTGAAATTCATGTTGGTAATTTATTAGCCAAAAAAGTATCGAATTTAACTGAAGTTCATTGCTAAATAATAGGTTTCAGTAAATAAATTTGCTGTAAAAAGTTTTTTTGATCAAGGGAAACCTTATATGGCTCTAGTGATCTTAAGTAGTCAAGTAAATCGTTCTTTTCTTCCCCATCAGTTTGTTGCATTTGCAGAGCAGCATTTTTCCTCTTGATTTCACGAAGTTCCTTCAATCGAGCAAAAGGAAATATGAGCATGTATCCCACCAAAATACAGATATGGAAATGTTTCTGTTGATTGATGAACAAATTTGATCGGATTGACATGTATAACAAGCTAACTTATTATATGTAGCTTTTCTCGCATCTTGTTAGTGCTTCACACCGATGCAAACTATTATGTGTTTACGATTATTCAAACCCACACATAAAACATAAAGGAAACGTCTCCATCCACTCAATATTTTGAGCTAAACAATTCAATGATTCAAAGAGAAAAAAGAAAAAGGCCAATGAAAAGAAGCACCTTAAAACAAACCTTTTTCATGAAAGTTAGACGAGACCGCAAAAGGAGAATATATTTATGAGTTACAGGGGACACATCACCCATGCCTTGATATTCGATATCTCCAAATTCGTCTTCAGCGGTTTTCTCAGATTCAGATGACAAATCATCTTTCCCAGGAAACCCATTTGTTTTTGTACCGTCCAACAACGTTTCTTGTAAATGAAAGTTCGATTTTTCTGAAGTTTGATTTCCCAATTGTCCATCGCAACAAAGGTTTCGTTCGAGGCAAAGCCTATATTCAGCATTCCTTAATGTATAACTGCAATTCAAGAAGAATAAATATTTTTCATGTTATGCCTCCAGCATCATAGCTAGTCCGCATGTCTCATAGTAAATCAAACATTTAAACCTATGTCTGAAAGAATGTCTGATCCATGCGACAGACACGGATATTATGATGAAAATGAAGAGTCAGAGCACCTAAAATTGAAACCATCATGGACTTAAAGCCCTTACCCAAGGTTTCAACCTGTTGGCAAACAACTGGAGTATATAACAAATTATCAGTGGCACATATCATTTAGAATAAGAGTATACCCTGTCATCATAGAAGAAACCAATAACTTGGAGAGAGGATCCTGCAATGTCTCGATTAAAACTTGAAACCTATCAGATGGAAGTAAACCCAACATGTCCGAAATAGTCCTTTTCATGGCATCTACAGTTGATGGGGGGACATCTTTTTGGAAAAGGCTGTTATCCAATGGTTCTATCTCTTGTATCAGATTGATGATGGTCGATTTCTGAGAGAAAACGGTAACACTCAATTTCTAGATCATTACAAGAAAATCTCTTTGAAAATAGTAGATATATGCATGAATTTGAAAACTAGAAACGAACATTGCCTAATCTTTGTCAATTCTTGAAAACACCAGGGTTTATCACAGAAGAAAAACAGCTTAGAGCATCCATGTGGCAACGCTTGTCGACTCAAAGAAATTGCTTTGCATACCGGGGTTTAATCGAGCTTAGCTAAAGCTATGAGAAACTAGAGTTGAAGCTTGACTACAACTTCAAGACTCGAAACTTGAGATTCATCTAGTTTTAGTTTTAAAGTTTGAGCTTAGTTTGAGATAAAATCATGTTACTCAAGCTCACTCAAATTTGTTTACCTAGAAAAAAATGAGCTCGATCAATACTTGAATTCAGCTAACTGAATAAGTCGATCTGACCAGGCTGAATTCAAGTTTTTCTTTTCAAGTCAAATCCAATTAGCTTGGGGTAACGTGTGTCTCGTAGATACCCGTTAAGCCAAACTATAGTTCAAGATGAGGCTTTTATTCTTTTCAGACCACATTTTCAAGAGAAAATTTAGAAGGACGTAATTGCAAATCAAATTAGCAAAACATAGTTTAAATTTAGCCATCACCCCATCTCTATACAATTAATATATGACCATGAAATAAAAAATAACTTAAATCATTGTGATGTTACATTACATCGATTACTGTTGTCTAGAGAAACGCTGTTTTCTTCCATATATGTAAGAACTAAAGAAACTGAAATTTGCCGCCATAATTTCGCACAATTTCCCGAATTTTCTCATCAACCAATCAAAAGATAAATCTTTAAGTATTAAAAACAATTCCACCAACGTATAACTGATTTTAGTGGATGAGTTTCTCAACAAGAATTTTTTGCATATACAAAAACTCAAACTTGAAATATTATTTAAATAATATCAAGTTGTATACACACCTACTTTAGTGAGTGAGTTTTGAGATACTCTTACAATTTTACTCTTACTTTTTTTTAAAGTTGGATTTATTATCATCTTTACGGTTTGTGGTTGTTTGATTGTTAGTGATTTATCATTGTTTAGATGTTGTACTGGTCCTTTCCTACTAAACTTTTACGAGGACAAACTACATTGATGATCACTTAAGTTTTAATACTTTTTCATTTTAGTCATTGGCTTTCTAAAATATTTATTATACAATTAATACATTTTTAATTCGTTTTCATTACGCTCATTGCTATTAGATAGTGTTAATAAAAGCTTATATGACACGTTACAGACTTCTTCCCAAAAACATCCCTATGATTTCAAATATAAAACAAGTGCCTAAACTACAACACTTTTTACGTATAGGCGCTTAAAGTATTTTTTTGAATGATTCTGGTGCCTAACGCAATAAATATTACCACTTTAGGTACCCGAACCATTAACGGATTTAAATTTTTCTGTTAAGTAACACGTGTCACAATATGGTAATCTTTAAATTTATTTTTTTTATAAAAATATTAAAAATGTTATTATATTTATAAAAAACCATAATTTCTCTTAAACTACAAAAAAAAACCATAATCCCTAAAATCCCCAAATCTTAAACATAGTTCGTCATTGTCGCACTTTCTGCCCATGACCATCGTCGCTGACGTGGTCATTGTCATCCTCCTAGTCATAAACCGCCGTAGATGTCCCTGATTGTCCATCAAAATCTCATGGGATCGCTATTTTCGTCATAGTGTTCGCGAGGTATAAAACGTCGATTCGCTGTCGATTGGTCAATGTTTCAAAGGGGTTTTGGTCGTCAGGGCGAGGTGAGGTCGGGTGGAACTTCACCAACGGCAAAGGACGACGATCAATGCGGTTTTAGGGGTTAAAATTAAGGTTTTCAAAGTTTTGGAGTTATTTCAAAATTTTTGTGTTTTTTTTTAAAAAAATTAAAATTATCTTATTGTGACACGTGACACTTAATAGAGGAAATTAACGCTGTTAGACATTGAGATCATTCAAAAAATAGTTTAGATACTTATTCATGAAATAAACCATAGTTTGGACACTTATTTTAGAATTAAGCATTACTAATTCAACTACTCGACTGCGGAACCATATAGAATTAAACGAAATTGAGCCCTATAATCTAAGCTGAAGTACAACATGGTGTTTAGTCCAACTCTACCATGAATGGTTAAGAGTTAAAGACATTTTTTGCTGTTTACTCGTCATTCACTCAGTTAAGGCAAATAAATTTTGAAATTTCAAAGGCTTAATCTATATTGCATTGCAATAAGTTCAATCTCTTTTCAATTTCGTAACTTATTTTTCCAGGTTGTTGAGTAATCAATAACATGAATATCAAGAAAATATTATTGCTTCATCTTCTGTTCATAGCTCATACAACACTTATATAATACTCACTTACAACCGTCTAACTACTTAGCTAACAACTAACAATCATCAGTTATAACAAACTATAACTGCTTACACATCATTACACTGCAGCTGCACATATACTTTAGCAGCTCAACTACACTCAATATTCTCCCTACTTTTACATTCTCCGCCAAGAAACGATTGAACACAAACCTTTGCTCGAAACAACACAAACCTTTGCTCGAAACACTTCAAATTGTTAGTTAGACCATCTGCTACTTGATGACTGCCTGGAACATAATAGACCACAACTTGCTGAGCAGCAACCTTCTCTCTAACAAAGTGAACATTTAGCTCAACATGCTCAGTCTTAGCATGATACACTGGATTCACAGGATTCACAGTAACAACCACTGTACTATTATTATCACACCATATGACCGATGTTTTGGACTGAAGAATCCCCATATCCGTGAGCAGGGCACTTATCCAAGTTGTTTCAGCGGTAACATCAGCTACACTCCTATACTCAGCCTCCATGGTTAACCCAGAGACAACCTTCTGTTTCTTAGAGCTCCACATGACCAAGTTTTCGCCAACAAAAACACAATTGCCTGAAATAAACTTTCGATCATCTGTATTGCCAGCCCAATTTGCATCTGCAAAGGCCACGACATGCAGCCCTACCACAGACGGTGTTATAACTAATCCATGATTAAGTGTGCCAACCAAATATCTTAAAATACGCTTGACTGCTACCAAATGGCCACGCCTAGGTGCATGCATATATTGCGCCACCTTGTTGACACTAAACGAGATATCAGGACGTGTGTGGCAGACATACAGAAGCGCTCCCACTATTTGCGATACTCATATGCATCAGCCAACAAATCCCCAGCATCATCTTGTGTATGCCTCGATGTAACTAGCATAGGCGTAGAGGCAGCTCCTGCATTATGCATATTGGTCTTCATCAACAACTCCATGATGAACTTTCGTTGACTAAGGACCAATGTTTCACCAACACGACAACCTCAATCCCAATAAAGTAGTTTAGTTCTCCAAGATCTTTTAGCGCAAACTCTGCTAGCAAAAGCTTTACAATCTCTTCAATCTGCTTGTTTGATTCTCCTGTAATTATTATATCATCTACATAAACAAGCATGCATACATAACTGCTATGAACACATTTAACAAACAAAGAGGTGTCTGCTTTGGATTCCTTGAATCCAATACTGACTAAGCACTGCTTTAACTTGTTGTGCCAGCTCCGAGGTGCCTGCCTCAGGCCATACAACGCTTTTTGGAGCTTGCACACTAGTGATACACCATCAGCAGTTCTTTGTTCAAACCCAGGCGGTTGCTGCATATATACATCTTCACTCAACTCTCCATGTAGGAAGGCATTGTTTACATCAATTTGTCGTAGTTGCCACCCCTTGGTCACTACTAGAGCCAAAACGACATTCACCGTGGTAAATTTGACCATTGGACTGAATGTCTCAGTAAAATCGTGACCTGGAAATTGAGAATACCCTTTGGCTACAAGGCGAGCCTTATACCGATCGATAGAGCCATCAGGGTCCTTCTTCAGTTTGAAAAGCCACTTACACCCTACTGCTGATCGTCCCTCAGGCAGGGGAACGAGAGACCATGTGTCATTCTTTTGCAAAGCTTCAAGCTCAGCGTACACAACGTTCGTCCAATGGGGTGATTGAAGAGCTTCATGAACATTAGCAGGCTCTATAATAGCATAGACAGCCGAGTATACTTTAGGTTTATAGATTCCATGCTTACTTCTGGTCATCATGGGATGACAACTTACCACTGTCCCTTCATCACCTTGCTCACTAAGCTCCACAAGACTTTGTGCACTGGGTTCTCCACCACTTTGTCCACCAAGCTGGTCATGACTGTGTCTACTAAGCTTACCATCATCTTCACTGCTAGATTGCTCACTGTGCTCACTCATGTTTGCTGTCTCGTAATTTTCTATAGCAGCATCACTGGTAGTAGCAACATGACTTCCCACACTCAACGATGGGTTCGAGCATTCTTTTATATTGAGAGGCGCACCTCCTGCCACTTCAGTTCCAACGTCACGTGGCTCAAAATTACTTGTAGCACTTAATTCCCAACATCAGTGACGATCTCAATGGCACCATATTTTGATGCAGCAACCTTTGGTGTTGTGCGAGATGTTGTACCACCTGCAAAAGGAAATACTGATTCATCAAATACAACATGCCGAGATATGTAATTTTTTCCATTCTCGGCTAGACACATGTAGCCCTTGTGTTGGGGACTATAACCGAGAAACGTGCATGGCTTAGACCTAAACTCCATTTTATGTTGTTGAAAAGCTCGCAGGCGTGGAAAACACTTGCAACCAAAGATTCTCATGAATCTATAATTTGGTTTCCTTCCCCACAACTTCTCGAGTGGAGACACCCCATTCAGAACATGTGTTGGAAGTCGATTAATTAGATACACTGCACTAACAACAATATAGTACCAATATTGTAAAGGCATAACAGTCTGTGCTAGAAGAACCAGTGCAAGCTCTACAATATGTCGATGCTTCCTCTCAACCACTCCATTCTGCTCGGATGTATGTGGGCAAGCTACTCGATGTGATATCCCATCCTTGATTAAGATTGACGAGAGGCTTCGATACTCACCACTCCAGTCACTCTGTACAACTTTAATGGTGACACCAAACTGAGTTAGCACCATCTGCTGAAACAGCTTGAAGACGTATATGACTTGTGACCGATCCTTCAGAAAATACACCCAAGAGTGTCTAGAATACGCATCAACAAATGACAAGTAATACCGAAAACCATTAGACACAACATTTGATGGACCCCAAATATCAATAAATACCAGCTCAAAGGGTAAACTATACAACGTAGAAGAGTTTGAGAATGGAAGTTTATGACTTTTTCCAACACAACAAGCTTCACAGACTTTATTCATTTCTTTGGAAACTTTTACACCAATTGTTTTACATACATTTACAATGGTATTATAGGTAGCATGACCTAGTCGTCGATGCCACAAAGTAAACTCATCGACTGCAATAGTTGAATTGGTTAAGGCATTACCACAAGCACCTGACCATTGTTTTTCTGAGAAGACATACAACCCTCCTTCAACACGACCACGCAACAACACTTCTTTTGTGTTGACATCACGAACACAACACCCTCGATCATAGAACTCAAAAATACACCATTGTCCCTAGCAAACTTGGACACCGAGAGAAGGTTCTGTGTTATGCTAGGCACATGCAGTAAATCGTTTAATAGTAAAGATCTAGATTGTGTCATTAACGTTCCATCACCAACCATATTAACACGTAGGGAGACACCATTACCAACAGTTAGCTTACTTGGGCCACCATGCTCTGGTCTACGAGTTATGTTACCAGAATTGGGCGTCACGTGATGAGTGGCTCCAGAATCCACCACCCACTGTTCTTGTGTAGACCCAGCGGATGAATAAGCTTGAGGGAAATTTTCTGAGGTTAGCTGACTGCGAGTCCCATTCAAACAACAATCACACCCAGTGCAACCAGCCTTGTAGCATTGTTAGCATTGGCAGTGTCTTCTGTATACTGATAACGACCAATATTGGTGTTAACGATATGAAAATGTTCATCGAACCGGTGCCAACACCTGTCAATAAGGTGCCCAGGCTTCCCACACAACTGGCATTACATCCGTGTTCGACCACGACCTCGACCGCCTCGCCCACCAGTCATTCCACTAGAATACGAGAAATGCTGTGAGCGATGGCCATACGAGTTAGAGCTTGTTTTAATAGTATCTGACCCCCGAGCTGTGTGAGCACTTGCCATTACTAATTCTTCTTGAGCTGAAAACCCAGCCAACTGTGTTTCAGCATCAATCAAGATCCTGCTTACCTTTTCTAGAGAGATGGAGTCTCCACTGGTAGTTATTACTGCCATGAAAGGTTGATATTCTTTAGGCAACCCTTTTAATATGCTCGCAATGTGACCAATCGTGGGAACAACACTTCCACAAGATGCTAGAGCATCACAAGTTTCTTTAACCCAAGCCAGGTAAGCACGTATGTATCTTCACCTTTCTTGAGAGACTTTAGTTTACAGTGAAGGTTCATCACTGCTGTGGATGACCTTGTGGCAAATATTTGCAGTATTGTATTCCAGACTTCAGATGCAGTCTCTGCTCCTACAAATTGAGAGAGTAAGTGCGGGCTTATAGTCGACAACAACCATGATGCTAACGCACTATCCTGGGCTATGAAATCTTCATAGGCTTCATTTGACACTAGTGAACCGTCCTCAGCAGTCAAGAACTCCGATGGAGGCTTCATCGCACCAGTAAGTAGTCGTTCAAGTCGATGGCTCCTTACTGTGAGAAGCACTTGCTGTTTCCAAAGCAGGAAATTTGCTTCAACAAGTACAACGTTGATCTTCTTATTTGTGAACATCTTGATGTGGCTTGAAAGGAGAGAATTATCACTAGCAGCCATAGAACTGAGATCTAACAAACTCAGCAGTTACTCTTGCAGCAGAAGCATATCCTCCAGATCTTGTGGCGATTGATACCATGTTGAGTAATCAACAACATGAATATCAAGAAAATATTATTGCTTCATCTTCTGTTCATAGCTCATACAACACTTATATAATACTCACTTACAACCGTCTAACTACTTAGCTAACAACTAACAATCATCAGTTATAACAAACTATAACTGCTTACACATCATCACACTGCACCTGCACATATACTCCAACAGCTCAATTACACTCAATACAAGTTACTCGTCATTCGTCAAATTCTTCCTAGAAATTTCAATTTTCAACAATGGAGGAAGCTTCGACCTATATTTCACTGCAAAGTGCAAAGACCATTAACGAAACGATGCTTTTCAAAATTTTCTATATAAACTTTAAAAACCATGCAAATAATTCACCAAAGCAAAGAAAAAATGGCTAATCTCCAAGTCTTCTTCTTCGTTTACCTGCTCGCAGCGCTAGCCACCTTGCATGGCTCCTCCGCCGTCGAGTACACCGTCACCAACGAGGTCCCCATGACTCCCGGAGGCACTGTATTCGACAACGAGCTCGGCATCGAGTACACGATGTATCAAATGGATTCAGCCTCGCAGTTCATCTGGAACCTTTTCCGCAGCCCGACTCGGCTTCCAGAAAGAATGTTCAAAGCGTTGGCCACTTGGCCTATTCATAGTCGATAACCTGGATCCGAGAGCAATCGCCGTCACCAGCAACGATAAGATCAACGTCAGCGCTAAATCGATGGAAAGTCTAACCGGCGAACAACTGAAACGGAGCTTCAACGGGTTGCTTTACCACGAGATGGCTCACGTATGGCAGTGGAACGGGAATGGGCAACAGGGGGACGACCATCTCGGGGGCTTGATCGAAGGGATAACGGATTTCGTACGGCTGAAGGCCGATTACGTTCCCGATGGGCGGCCTCGACGGGGGGATGGCGAGCATTGGTACAAGGGGTACGCCGTTACGGCCTGGTTTTTGGACTATTGTGAGGGCCTGGGCGGAGCTTAACGGGAAGCTCAGAGATGGGCACAATCCCGATTCCTTTTTCCAGATTTTTGGCAAGATTGTTGATCAGTTGTGGACTGACTACAAGAATCAGCCAACAAATTAAACACGTCTTTGTAGAGGGAATGACAATTAATAATTAATTACTTATGAATAAGCTCTACCTCTCTATTTGCACTTGACTACATGATTGAATAAAGGATGATTATATTTAGGGGCAAACTATAACAATGGCAACTTAATTGTTTATTCTTTTCATTTTGATCATCAATATTTCAATTTTATCAATAAAATCACTTAGTTATTTAATTGTAGTCAAATAAATCACTTGTTGTTAATATTAAATGGAGGATCTGGCACGACTGTTAAAAATATATAATTATACATTTAATCCTTAGTATTTATATGTTTTATTAATTTGATTATATTTTAATTCAATTTAATAAATTTACCATCTAATCAGATTGTGACTCGTGTTACTACATAATTGAATGGAAAATAAATTGAAACAATAAAATCAATAAAGAGAATTTGAATATGTAAATGATGCAACTTAATATGTGAAAAACTATACAGTTGCAATAGACGTAGCTCAAATCTAGCACAATAAAATTTGAATGATGTTCGGTCAATTGATCTACTCAAAATCATATCGAACGTGCATATAATCATGAGTTATAACTAAAAAAACATAAATAAAATGGAAAGGACCTTTCAAAAACAAAGGAATTGAGAAGAAGAAGAAAAGAATGAAGTGACTTATTAGTATGATCTGCATTGATTTGTTTACTTGTGTCCCTCACCGGGACTCGGACCGGACTTGTCAACTCCAATGGCTCCAACTCCATCGTATTCGTGTCCTACAGTTGAACCGGATTTCCCGACTCCAACAGCCCGAACGTTATCGTACCCTTGTCCAACACCCGAACCAGATTTCTCAGCATTGTTGTATCTACGTCCGACGCCCGGACTCGGCCGTGACGACATCTTTTTGCTGCCATTATAGGACTGCAGCTCCGAATCCTTCAACCCCCTTGCCCCTGTTTCAGAAAACAACAGAGAGACAAGAAGAAGAAGAACAACAAAAATGAACAATTTTATGCCCATTTTCCCAATGTGATTCACAGCTAGAAAAAGAAAACAATGACGTTAGGCAGTAACAAGGCGTGGTTGGATTCTATTTATAGCATTTGAAACGCAGATGCGATTTGGGATTGATGGTGGGCTTTGTTTGACTAAAACAGAGACAGTGACAATTTGTGTAATGATAGAATTGAGCTTAGGTTCAATGGCAGCCAGGAAGCCTGGAAAGCAAGTTCATGGGGAAGATGAGATTTTGACAAAATGCGAATGAAAAGTAAGCCAAGTTTGGTCTTCAACAACGACAGGCATGGGAAGTAAATAGGCAGAATGCAATGCAGACTCTGTTCTGTTCTGTTGTGCTCTGAAAATTCAAATATATTACACATCAATTACGTGCTCTCGCCTTCCACATCATACGGCCCACAATTGGCAAATTATCACTACGGTTAGCACGATATGAATATGAATGATCTCACTGCACTCGTTATTGCCAACGTGATCTTTGAGTGCCGCGTAATCTGACTAGGGATGGCAATAGGATGGGTTGACGGATTTGAATTTAATTATATGTTATGATAATAAGATTCGACTTTATTCTTACTTGAATTTAATTTTTTCACTTACCTTGAAAATAAAATAAAAATTTAATCTAGCTTGATTTAACATAATTAGGGGACTAAAGATCAAATTGTACCAGAAAATGAGAGGCTATAATCTAATTCACCTAGTTTCAAAACTAAGAAATCTTAAGAATCCAAAAAATTACGAGACAAGACATGATTAATCTAGTTATAAAACTAAGAGGGGCCTAGAAAGTCATTAAACGCAAAATTTTAAAGAGAAGTCATCTCCCATATTACACAACTCATCCTTTACTTAACAACAAAGTATTATTTATTTCGAAAGTTGCTGATTGGTGATTATTTCACTATTAAACCTTCTACCTATCACAATTAGAAAATGAGTACAAAAATTGGACTTATGCTCAACGGTCATAGGGTACAACATTAAATGAAGCTTCAAAATTTCCATGCAGGATTATAATTTGGGGGCACAACTTGGTCTATGAAAATGATGATGTCAATTATCAAATATGCAACAGATCTTACTTAATTCTCAACATTTACTATCGGTCCACTTCCATAGACAATCTACAAGTTCATTATTATTATTATTATTATCAAAGTTAAAGTTAAGGTGATTATAAAGTAGTATCTGCTCTAAATACTCTCAAGCATTTGACAATGAACGCTCAAATACCCTGCTGCCAGGGGCAGACCCAGGGGTAGCTCGGGCAACCCCTCAAATTGTGAGATTTCAATATTTTTACATATATATTTTGTAATTTTTAGATAGAATCTCCATATTTCAGTTAAATTCTCATAGAAAAAAATTTTGTGCAACAAAATTGTCTACTTAGTGTTAATTTTTTCTAATTTTTTTAATTAATACAAGTGTCACCCTTAATATTGTGCAACCCCTAAAAAAATTTATAAGAATTTTTTTGTGCAACCCCTGAATTTTTGTCCTGGGTCCGCCCCTGCCTGCTGCAGTCCCTGATGCTCGGACCCTGACTTCAAAAACAACAACAATTCTATTAACCACTGAGGTAAGTTGGTTGGACAGACAATTTAAGGTTAAAATCACAATAACACATATTTGAATATATTATATTTGGAATTAATCATACAAAATAATCGAATTAATAATTTGTAGGATAAAACTATTTATTTTGTCACCAACTTATTCCAATGTTTCTACTTTAGTCACACAACTATTTTTTATATTCAATTGTTTTCTAGGTCCCTCTTAATATTAAAACTTCACAAATTAGGTCTTGGTCACTACCTAATTTGTAAGTTCGGCTACATTTTAGGTTTTTTACGTTTTGAAATTAGGTAAATTAAGTATTGATTCTCTAACTATTTTGGGTTAATTTGCTTTTTAGGTCCCTCTTAATTTGGTGAAATGACATGCTCCGTCATTTAGTTTGAATACTTTTTAAATCCCTATCAATTTTAAACTTAAATAAATTAGAACATGACATTTTAATTTTTAAATGGATTTCTTGATAATTAGAACAAGACATGCATTTTAGGTCTCTAAAATTACATCGTGACCCTAATATTCTACCCCCTAGTGTTTAAGGATTTGAAACCTCGACACTTACCAATTATACCAAATATTAGTAATATGTAAAGTTACGAGACCTGGACTCAGGAGGATCTTTTGATGGTATCACCATTGATTGAAAATCACTATTGGCTTTGAATTGCTTTCTGAAAATGACTCGGAATGAATTTTTTTCCGTTTTAGATGAAGAATGACATTGCGTGGAAGTTAAACCAATGTAGGATTACATCCTTTCAAATGAAAAGAAATCCCAATCACTTTTTTTTATTAAACTAAGTTGATTTTAAAGTAGTATGTATTCTAAATACTCTAAATCATTTCACACTAACGTTCATTCACTCCTGATGCAGTCGGTGGTGCTCAAACCCGAAACCTCTAAGAATATCAACTATTTCTTTAACAACTGAAGTAATTTGATTCTTGTCAATCACTTTAATTTGAATTGCAAAGGGCTTTATTCACAATTTTCGCTTTTACTTGTATATAGGGATGACAATATGTCATATCATATCAGGTCAGATTTTTGTTTTATTTGAATTCGATTCGAGAATTATATCATTCACTCAATTCTTAACCCTACTTGGATTTAGAGGAGTTTCACTCTATCTGAAATCCGGCTCGAATTTTAGGATAAAAACTCGACCCGAATATCTTTAACAATTATCTTTAAACATATAAACATAAGTTATACTATTATTCTCGAGTTGGATATTTTTCATCCTAAGTTTAACCTCGGATGAAAATTTATTCGATTAAGACCATGAAGTATACATGATACAAACTATTGATTTTATGCCGATTTTGGAGATTTCCCTGTTTTGGTGATTAAATTCAAAAATCATTTTCAACGACTTTACCAAACAATTTATATCCAATAAAGTTGAATACCACAAGCAAAAGAAATCGAAATTTGAGCCAATTGGAATGAGAAATGGGAGAGTAAATTAGCTTGTGGGATGCATCTAAATGAGGAGAGAGTTTTAGAGTCATGGAAAATTAGGTTTGGATGCAATTCATAAACAGTATGATGTAATTGATCCCAATTTGTATAGTGTTCTGTAATTAAGATCCAATATTTGATTTAGATACATACATAATTTTATGTTAGGAGCGAATTTATAAAATTTTAAGAAATAAAAACAGATTTTTAATTTAAAATATATATAAAAAAACTTTTAAGAGGATGACTACGCCCATCTACTCCCCTCAAGCCATCCCCGCTTTGATCCGCTAACCGTCATATCATCTTGCTTGCTCCTTTGTAGTTGATGGGTAATCCGTTTGGATGTGTTTTGAATTTTGCCTTGTTTTTATTCCTTTTTCACAGCTCTGAATCTCTTACTTGAGATGAGTGGACGAGAACGCAAAAAACGACGACCTGTAACTGTAAGCAAGCCAAGCTGATCCGAGTTCTAGTCGTAAAAAGCTCGAGTTTGAACTAGATTCCACGTTAATTAAACTTAAATAAAAGAAAAAGACGACACAATCACTCTATGCCACAAGTGACATCTATTCTAAAGACTCAACCATTTAATAGCTCAAATACTCAGTAATTTCTTATACTCGAATCTGTGACTCTTTTAGAAATAACAATTGTTCTTTCCTTTAACGTAACTTGGTTCGTGTTTTTGTTCATCTATCTCTCTATTTCCCTTTTTCGTAAGCTTTGATCTCCCCATATTAATCGAACGAATAATGGTTCATTCAAAATTTCCAATCCCAATTCTCTTAACCCTAGCATTTCTCACACCTTGTCTTTTGAATCCAAACTCTTCCATGTAATCCTT